GGGGGGGGGGGGCTTCTGCTCTGTACTGTAGGTGTCTCTGAGTCAGGATGGAGCCAGAATCCAGAACAATGAGGGTTTTTTTGCAGGAGCGAAGTGTGGATTTGAACCATTGAGTTTATTAGCACCATACTATGTGGATGCCAATAATTCACTTTCTTAGTTGGAAGAAGGGAAAATACTAGTTAAATTATTTGGAATAATCTTTGAAATTTCTTTTACCTTGACAGTTTGTTTTTTTAAAAGATCTGTAATTCATATTGCTGAAATAGTTTTCAACATTAACTTAAGAAAACCTTAGCTATTTTTATACACCTATCTTCTCTTGATTTTATGAGTACACTTGTGTCACATTATTTTAAGTTATTTCTTTGTGTTCTCTCTAAAGTCAATGAGTTTTCTAATACCTCCTTTTTTTGTTGTTTAAGCTGTACCTGTTACCTTAACTGACTTCTCTACTGATCATCAGCGCACTTTTGGAGAGTCCCATTTCTGTCTCAGGAAATATGGAAGATTGACTGTCTTAACATTCTCAAACAATCCATGCTGTGACTTGTAAGCCTGACATCAATCCTTCCACCCTTCATAAGAAGTCATATGTTAACACTTAATTGGATGTTTTACTTGTGTCAGAGACTGTACTAAAGAGATGTAATTAATAAAAATTTCTTGCCCCTAAAAAACTTAGAGCCAGAGGAAGGGACATAAGTAATTGCAAACCCTGCAATGAGTTTTGTATTAGATATAAGGAGAAATATCAAAGCAGGGCAGAAAGGCTTGGGTGGAGTAAACCAGAAGTGATGATTGGAAGCTCTCTGAAGTAGTAGAACTTTGTCAACTAAGGAAGGGCTATTCAAGTGCTACCACACAAAGCAGTGTCTATAACTTGATTGCTGTACTACTGTGTGTATGGGGAATGGTAAGATGATACTAGGAGCATAGGCAGTGGTCAGTGGCACAAATGATTACGTCTGTTTGTCATTTAGAAGTGTGTAATCTGTAATCACCTGACTTTGAAAAGTTGTACATTTCAGCCTATTGGTGTAATAACCATCCTGGGAATAGTTCAAGCGAAGTGCTTTACAAATGTGGGGTTCGGGAAAGTCTGTCATTCCTGATTTCAGTGCTTATAAAGAATCATGATGCATATGGTGGTGGAATTGAGTCTAGAATAGTAAGCAGAAAGCCCTTAGGGTGCAATAATAAATTAATGAAAGATTACTTACAGAGTAATATAGAGTGTTTTGACCACGGTGCTTGAGAATAGTGCAGTATTAAAAGCAATAGTAAAATCAATAAATTAAAGGGAAGGGTCTGGAAGAGAAGTTCTGTTTTAAAAATACTTCTTTGGAGGCATTAATGGGCCTGATCATTTGAAATGTCTTTTTTAACATAGGAAGAGAATGAGTGGGGTTGGAGATACAGGTTTATTGCAAGCTGTATTCCAAGCTTTAAGGGAGCTCTGGTGGCTTATTGGTAAGGAGTTGTGCTGCTAACCCGAAGGCATGCTATTCAAATCTATCACCCGTTCTGCCTGAGAAATGGATAATCTCCTCCAGTGCAATTAAACTGAAAACTCTGTAGAAGATCAGCTGCAATTCAACAACAACCCCAAGCTTTGGGAATAGATGAAATAACTAAAAAGAGAAGGGTGAAGCTGGTCTGTTTCTGGGAACAAAATAAGGAAAGTCCAGAGAGATCAAAGAAATAATAGAGGAATTGATATTTGTTTTGTTGTGTTGTTAGGTGTCGTCTGCTCCTACTCACAGTGACCCTGTTGACA